GAGCTGTTTAATGAGACCCCGGTCAGCCGGGGGTAGAGACAGAAACTGGTCCCAGGGAAATTCGCGTCCTGCAGGTCCGTAGATAAAGTTGAAAGTAGAAGCCGTCGAGGACGGTGACCGGGCTTGAAAAGAAGTCAGAGCGAAAAGTCAACGCATGCGACTCACATCCAAGGTCAAGACAAAAGAATTCTGATGGCATTCATGTAAGAAAGAGGCAGGGGAGTCAGTTTTTAAAGTCTAGTAGTAGAAAATGCGTGTAAATCTGCCTTGAGCCCGACGCGAACAATATATCACGAGCAAAAACGGGCTAGAACTTAAAACGTTTACTATTTTTAGTCAACGAAAAATGGCGAGAGAAGACCAAAACAAAGTAATTAAGTAATAGTTCGTATTTGATGCTGTGATGCACTATGTAGCAAGACGAAACTCAAGGAAAGGAGCGCTCGCTCCTGGGCGCACTCAAGCCTCTGATCATCGGAACTCCGACCGATTGATCTGTCACGTGAACTGTGCTGTATTTGTACCGCCTTAGTTAGTACTTCTAGGGCTGACCTGTTGGGGCCTTGGTCTAATTTTGGGTTGGGCTGTATGGCCGATTCGAGCGCGCGCATGAGCGAAAGGTATGGGACGGACCAATTAGTCGTCATACCATGAACGCATAGGCAAGGGGGAGGAGGAGAAAAAACACGTCCGCAACAACACCCATACGTTGTCCGAACAATAATAGTTATTGAGAAAAAGTGGATGCGATCGCTGAGACAAGAACCTTATTCGCCTGTCATTTCGGATTCATGTTCGAACCCATCATCAGGGACGTAAGTCTGTCTCAGCGGTGTCGGGCCAACCCCGTGGTGCACACCGTGGAGATAATTGATTACGAAAGTGAAATTATTGTGTGTATTTGTGTGAGAGGGATACAATGGGAGCGAAATGTCTGGGCGGCCACTGCACTCAACCCTACTGGCACATTTTCGATTCAATTCTGTCACTAGTCTCCAAGGGGGAGGGGGAAGAGAAAGACCGACTCTGCGAAGTCTTTCGTCAGTATAATACATCTGACACACATGAGCTCCCAGTGCGTCTGAGAAACTGGGGCTAGATCCTTGTGACGCAGTGTCAGGTGGCCAAAGTATCTTGGGATGTGATCTAGTGATGGCCCTTACTGACACGGTGTTCGAGTGACTGAAGTCCGATTTGTGTAGGTTGAGAAATCAGTTGGGACGCGAGCGAAATGGACTAAAGACCACGGCAGACACGACCTCAAAGCTTAGATCTAATTTCTTTGAAATGGTTTTTGCTGTTGAAACACGAGGCGCGTGTAACGAAAGAGAAAAAGAAGGAAGTGGATGTTGTATTGAGTCCTCCTTCACGACCCTCTAGGGCTCCTCTGAGATATTGGTGGTCCCCTAAGAATAAGTACCAGTAAATCACAGAACCTTTCACCAAATGAATCTCGTCATAATTAAGGCGGGATATAGATGAGAAAGGGTCACAGAATAAAAGCTCAAGTTGCATACCTAAAGTAGCCGAGACTAAAGTGGCCGCGTCCAACTTTGTGCTGTCAGAGCTGAG